GTTTTACCTCAACCGAAAGTGGTAACTTAGAAATTAAAGAATTAACTTGTCCTGATGGACAAGGATTTAACCCATCAACTAAAACTTGCCAAATTAATTACAAAAATATTTGCAACGAATTGTATTTATTAGAAACCGATATTTATGATTTAATATCATTTACACCGATAACCGAAATAATCATATCACCGATCAAAAATATTTTAAACCATTTTAACATAAACCCAATGAACGTTTTATTTCTTTTAAATTTAAACGATGAAATTTTATCAGATGGAATTCTCGTAATCGATTATATTTACAAAAATAAAAAATTACCACCAGCAACTTTAACACTTTTAGTCGACGCGATTCTTCCACGATTGCCATCTTCATTACAATCAATAATCAAAGCAATGATTAATTTGGGAATCATCAATCTTCAAAATCGTTCAACAACTTTAAATCTCACCGGAAATGATGAACAAGAAGTAATTAAAAGTTATTTATTAGGAATTTTATCGAATACAACAATCGATATTCCAACAATTATTAATTCATTCGAAGGAAAAAGTCAACAAGAAATAAGTAAAATGATTTTTGATGAAATCATGAAAGTGTTTCAAGTTCCCGAATATCAAATTCCATTTGCGGCGGGATTGTTAAAAATGAATTTGCCATTCTTTGCGGTTTCGATAAATTCTAAGTTGGGTTCGGATTTGGTTTTGGCTAAAGATGGAACTTTAAGGATAGATTTGAATAATCTGAATGTGTTATTTTATGATAAATTAAATGATGTGGCTGTACGAATGTATCCGGATAATGTATTTTTGAGTGCGATGTTTAAAATGTTTGCAAGGTATCAGTATAAGATGAATTATGGATTGATTACAGAGGTCGTTCATAATTTTTATTTTACTGCTAATGCGTTGGTTTAAGTTAATTAAGATATATTTTATAAAGATATTGTAATGTGATAAATAAAAAATGCTTCTAATATGTTTAGCTTATTGAATAATTTTGTACAAATTTACTAATTAGTAATTCTGGGACACCTATGTTTGCCAAATTTGAATTTTATAAAGTTTTCGACTTGCTGCACAAGATTTGATCAAGATCTGCGTCTGTTGGATTGGTTGAAGATGAGGTTGGGTTAGGTTGAGATGAGGTCGAAATTGATAAAGGTGATGTCTGCGTTGAGTTGGGCTGGATGTAAGACATGAAATTGAAAATTATTGATTAATTGAAAGTTCATGTGAATTTAAGTTTGGAGTTTGATGGCAGCTGGACGTTCTGAAGTAGATGTAGTTAAGGTTGAGTTGTTCTGAAGTAGATGTAGTTAAGGTTGAGTTAGATTGGATGGGTATGAATTAACGGTTGACTTAGTTGGAGGGGAAGTTGAGTTGTGTTAGGGTTGGTGGAGATGCGATTGGGTTGGATAAGGTTGAGGTCAAAGTAGATGAAGATAAGGCTTATTTTCAGTTGGACAGAGACGAAGGAGAATTTATGTTGGATTGACTTGAATTAATTAATTTTCTTTGTGATATGCTGGCTAGAAGTTCGGTTTAAATATGGAGTTACATTTGGAGTGAGGCAGAATAGAGTGAAATTATGATAGCGTTTGTTGAAGATAAGCTTGGAATCAAGTTGGATAAAGATTAGGTTTGGATTGAGATGGATTAAGATGAAATAGAGTTGGATTGGAGTGATCTTGGGTTGTATTGGGGTTGGCGAAGATAAAATTGAGTTTGATGAGGTTGAGGTAGATGAGAATAAGCTTTGTTGGAGTTGGACAGAGATTTGACTTGAATGGCGACGAGGTTTTGTTTGTTATGCTGGCTAGAGTAGGGTACGTTGAAGATGTGGTTAACTGTTTATAAGTATGTGAGGCAGTAATCAGGGTTGGATGGATTAATGGATAAGATTATGGTTATGTTTGTTGATGATAAGCTTGGAATTTAGTTAAATGGATTGAGATGAACTGGCTTAAGCCTTAAGGCGAGCTACAGTTGGATGGAGTTGAGGGATGAGTTGGGTAGTGTATGGTAGTGTGATTTAGGGTTGGAGATAAGCATGTTGTTCAGTTGTGTGACAACACGTGTTGAACATTATTGACTGATTAATTGAATGAAAATTTGGTTTGAGTTTGGATTTAGGTTTGATGGTATTTGGAACGTTCAGGGAAGTGATAAAGTTAGAGTTATGTTAGGGTGGATAGAAATGCGATTGGATTAAAGATTGTAGTTTTTTTTTTTAATTTATTGTTCATTCCCAAAACGACATAAGAGTCCATAACAGGTATATAAACACTAAAATATAACAACAACGCAAGAAGAAGTTACATACATACATACATATACAACAAAAAAAACATTTCAAAATCAGTTTAACCTAAGATTAAGGTAATAAGTCCTTGCTTCTCCCGCAAAGGAGTCCAGACCATTCTGATTCTTCACCTGTTGTGGTAAATCATTAAACTTCTTCTTCCAATGTTTCTTGCAAGGGGCAAGATATGAATATTTTGGTTAGTTCTTGTATTATAGCATGCATATCGCAGTTGAGGTTGAAGTGAATGTCAGATTCCACTAGACTATTTTTGATTTTATATATTAGCTTCACACTATCAAGCTTAATCATCTCATGTACATTAAGCACTTTTAACTCATTATACAATGATGTAGTATTTGTGCTATGTGGTTTACAAAAGACAATCTTTAGAAACTTATTTTGTGTTACTTGTAGCTTGTCAAGGTCTTTTTTACGAGCGTGACCCCAAAAAGCGCAAAGATAATTTAAGTAAGAGTGAGCATAGGCATAATAAATAGAATATGATATCTCGTTTCATTGTTGAAATACTGACCATTATGTTTTACATGATAGCTTATACCATTTAACTTCTTTTGTATTAATTTTATATGGTATTCAAACGTTAATCAATCTGTTATCTAAGACAATGCCCAAATAGGCCTATTTGTAACCTCACTCAACCTAATACCAGAGATTATAAGTTTATGACTTTTCGTAGTGGCCTTTTTGTTAAAGATCATTTATGTACATTTATTGCTGTGTAATTGAATATTATTTTCATCTACCCAAGAGCAAACACTGTCCAGATCACACTGAGCATCAGAAAAGACATAGCAGCATACAAGGCAAGATCACCATGCATACAACAATTGATTATATCATTTATATATATTAAAAAAAGCAGAGGACCTAGGAGAGATCCTTGGGGTACTCCAAACTTGACATGAGTCTTGCTGCTAGTAGCATTATTGTAAACAGTGTACTGCTTTCTATTTCTTAAATAATTTAACTTAAATTTAAGTTAAATTTTAAGTTGAAGTTGTAAGATTGAGATCAAGTTAGATGAAGATGCGCCTTGAACTGATACTAGACCTAGGATTAGATACTTTCGGGTTGAGTCGTCCGTCTTTTGAAAAAGTGTTTGACGTTTTACTTCGAACTTGATTCTGAAAAAGTTTGCAACATGGCATACGGAACGTCAAACATTTTGTAAATAGACGCACGGCTCAACCAGAATGTTTGTAGGTCTACTGTTAGAGTTAATTAGTGTTAGTAGTAGGTTTGGAAATTGGATTTTGATTCGAGAATGGGTGTGAATTGTATAGAAAGATGAACCGTGTAAAAATAAGTTTGGTGTTGCGTCGGGATAGAGATAGGCTTCCGCTGGATTATATAGAGATAAGGTTTTGGTTGGGTTGGATAGAGATGATGTGCGAGTGAATGACGATATGCATAATGTAACTATTTAAGTTGAGTTGGATTGAATTTGGAATTGCTTTCTTGATCGAGTAGGATGAAGATAATGTTTGAATTGAGTTGAACCAAGACCAGGTTTCATTTAGGTTGGGTTGTCTGGAAACCATATTGGAATTGGGTTAGATGTGGTTGCGATTTGGTTGAGAGATAAGATGGGATTAGGTAAAAATTAGTTTTACATATGGATTTAAAAAGACTGAGTTGAAATATCGTATGGAAGTTATTAATTGGGTGAAGATTTGGATTTAAGTTTTAGGTTTGATTGTAGGAAGAACGTCTTGAGGCGGATGAAGTTATGGGTGAGTTTTCTTCAATGGATGTGAGATTGGAGTTGAGTTGGCGAGGTTGAAGTTGAGATTGGGGTTGGATTGGAGTGAGCAGAAGGGAAACTGAGGTTATGTTGGGATAGATGAAGATGTGATTGGGTTGTGGTCAATTAAGTTGGAAGGTGATAACGTTTGGTTTGAGAGGGCTTTGTTGGAGATGCGGGTTGAGTTGATTTAGATTACGCGTTTGATTTTTTACACATCAATCTCTTTTAACCTATCAATCTCGTTCGCTGCCATGTGCACCACCACACACATTTTTCATCAAAGGCCATGTATACCACCGGTGGGCATGCGTCGTATGATTTTGTATTGATGGTTTTAAAGTGGTTTGTGAGTGGAATTATTATTTTTTCTGTCTGGCACATAGATAATAGTCTTTATATTGCATAAAAACTAGTATTGATGTTATTCTCATATTTTGATTTTTCTTGATATTTTTACAGTATGTAAATTATAAAATATTGGCTTTTAAGTCTTATAATTATAAAAATAAGAAGTAACTGTAACGTAATACAAAAATGTAGTGCTTTTTTGGCAGCTATGTTTCTTCTTTCAATTTTTATGATTTCTTGGTAACAATTTGCGCACCGTTTTCGTGTTGTAGCATCTCTAGTTTCAAATTCTTTCAATATATGATTTTTCGAAGATGTCGATGTCTTTCAATCATTTTGATACGTTTACATAGGAGCGAACGTTGAAAATATCAAAATCTAAGAACTTGACGTAATAAAATTAGTAGTTATACTATTACATGCATAATTTTTCCGCCTAACATATTTTTCTACTGAAAATGACATAAACATGAACACAATAGATTCCTTATCCCTTTATCAACATAGAACGTCACTCTAAAAAAAGACACAATTTAATTATTTACCTAAAAATTTATAAAACATATAAAGCAAAAATGTTTTATTACCCCGGTTTTAGTAAGAAGAAGATAATTGCAAAGATTAGAATTAAAATCGAGTTTATATTATTTCTCAAAAAATGGCTAAATTAATCTTTCTATTAATTTCTGTAAGTAACTAAATACTTTTTTTAAATCAAAAATAATTTTTGATTAGTTTCTAGTGATATCTAAAACTTTCTCGTTGCCATTGAACGAAAATTTAGTTCAGGACGAAGAGAAAAATCTTACAAACGCATCGGAAAACATAAAAATTAAATTAATCGGGATTTTAAATATTCTTAAACAATTTCAAAGCGATAACATCAAGGAAGTTCAACCAAAATCACATCAAATTTCGAAACGTCAAGTTACAGATGGTGGAATAAACGATATATTCGGTGGAGTTATTGCTAGCTTTTACAGCACCATTAATGCCGCTCTAAGAACTATTATCAATACTTTCCTAACGAATATAAATGAATCTACAGGAGGTTTCTTAACGGAAATTTTGATAAACTTACGAGATAGTGTTTTTAATGTTATCGATTCAATGTTCCCTGTATCTTCGACAATCGGTTCGGTGACTCCTATTGAAGGAATTCCCATTTAAATTTGTGTTAATTTAAATTTATTTTTGTTAATCATGTTGCAATAAAATTTTACATGGAAAATATTAAATTTTATCTTTATTTTTCATCATTAAAATGTATAAATAATAAAAGCTATAGTAAAACCTTGCAAAATGGCTTTTCCATGAACCAAATCTTGTTTAAGGTGTGATAATAATGTTTATTTTAGTTCTAATATAAAAGATCATGTTTTTCAACAAAAAAATTATTTAGATTTGTTTCTTTGTTTTGAATAAGCGTTTAAAATGGTTCAAATTAAATTATTTGTTTTGATATTAACCGTAAGTGAAAGTAATTAATTTCTTTAATTAAAATTTTTTTTTAAATTAATTAATTTTTAGTTTGTTGCAATTATTTTTGCACAAAATCCAAACAATGATATCAATAACGTTTCACCCGGTGGAATAATAAATGGATTATTTGAGAGTTTAAATTCAACTTTCAAATCGATTTTTGAAAGATTATTTTTGAATTGGGATGTTGCTTCGAATGGAATATTAACTGAAACTTTAAATAATATTAGAGTGTTTATTTATGGTCTTATCGATAGAATATTTCCCGTTTCTAATTTAAATTATAATTCTGCACTTTATTAATAAATAAACTATCTTTTGTTTTTAAATATATGATTTGTTATGAAATTATCATTATTTCTATCTAATGGCGGTGTAGCCCAATTCGATCTTTGACCTCCTCAATTTTCCTCTTCCATCCATTTCTGTTTTCTGATGCTCTTTTCCAGTTAGCAGCTCCTAACATGTTCCTGGCATCCTTCCAATTTCACCAACAAAATCGTGTAATGGGTTTCCTACCTCCAGGTTGGCCTTGAAGTATCTTCTTTGGTACTCCTCTGCATTCGACATCCTCTGGACATGCCCTTCCCTTAAATGTTAAGCATTTAACCATTTACACAGTTTCTAGTTTTGCATAAACCAGAGATTTATGTCTTCGAATCCAGGAAGAGTGTTTTCCAGGAAATCAACCTATCCCACCAGACGTTTAGACTAAAACTCTAGTGTATCCAGTCTCTCTGCGTTTCTGTGTGTAAGTGCTCTGTCATTGTCATGTGACATGTTAGATCCTAAGTATGTGAACTCTTGTACCACTTCAGAGATGTATTCCTTTATTTTGATGTTTCGTCCTATTTCATTTTGTGATTTCTTGTTCTGTACAAGGAGCTTTGAAGTTCCGTGAATTAGTTAGTGAATTAGGTTGATGTGGTCTGTATACCCTATGATTTGGTGTGAGCGGCTTAATAAAGTCGATCCTATATCCTGGCTGGTCTTTCTAGGGACAACTTACAAACATGGGTGCCATCTCATGTCCCTGTATCAGGTTTTGTGTGGCTTCAAATTTTTTTTGTTTTTCCGACTTTCCCACAAATCACTCATTGTTATGGTTATCATTCTAACTAGTTTTGGTAGAATGTCGAAGGATAATAATATTGATTGGAATATACTTGTATGTTATCGTAAGCTTTTTTGAAGTTGATGTAATAATATGTCTATGTCGTATTCCTGGAATTTATCTGAATATCTGATCAGTTTATGATCGTCCAGTTTCGATGTTCTCTCTGCCAAAGGTTCCAATTTGTCTTTAACGATGTTTGTGAATACTTTGTAGGCTTTGATATGTCTGTATAATTTTCACATAGTAGTCTATCTCCCGTTTTGTGTATTGGACATATCACACTTGTTTTCCATTCTTGATATCTGCTAGCCAACAAACATTTTATTTATTAGACTGTGTACTTTTTGCAATTGAGTCTCTTCTATGCTTGAAGAGTTCTTCTGGGAAGTTGTTTCTTCCGTTCTTTCTAGATCTCAGTACTTTCGTGATGTCTTCCAAAGATGGTGGTACCATAGCATATCTGGTCTCTACTTTATTTTGTAGTATATATTTAGATCAAACTTGTCTATCCTATTTAATAGTTCATTCGCTAATACGTCTCCTTTACAGAGTGAAATTTTTGGCCTGTACCCTTCTTTGAAGTAATTGATTCCTCGAACCATCGTCTTTAAAATCTACTTTGCCTTCAATATGATGTCATTCCTATTTTTATTTTTTTTTCATCATTTTTCAGAATCTCGTTGGCTTGTATTCTCAGTTCCTGATACATATTTTATTTGGGTCTAATTGGTCTTCGTATATATTTGATTCTAACTTCGTTTCTCCTTTCTATCACTTTGCGACAATCCTCAACCAGCCGTTTCTCCTGCATCTCGGTTTTTGTCCCAATATGGCTTCTGCCACTCCATTCACTGCTACCATTCATTCTTTATAGTCCCTATATTGGGTTCTCCTCCATTCCTGCTTGCAATTTCCTCTGTATCGCCTGTTGATATTTTATCCTTTTCGTTTGTTCCTTCAGTCTGTCGACATTAATTTTCGGTTCCCTACCACTTTTGTTTTGGTTTTGTTTGATATTCACCACCTATATCGTGCGCATATTAGAAGGAAGTCTGAGTCGCACTTTACCTTTCAAGTCCTTACGTTCATTATGATGGACGTAATATAATGTAATATAGTAGTGTGTGGAGCTTATAATCATGTTTCTTTGACATCGCAAATTCAATTATTCTTCTGCCATTATCGCTGCTGTTATTTTGTAGGCTGTTATTCCCAGTCACTTATCTGTATAGTTCATCCCTACCTACATTATCATTGAGGTCCCCGACTATCGCTCTTTGTTTCTTCGTCCTTTTTCTCTGTTTCTCCATGTACATTGATTTTGGCAAGGTTAAAGAATTTTATTTTTATCAAGTACGTTTAAGTTATTGGAGAATCAACCAAAAACGGGAAAGGAATCAAAAAACCTCCTTTAATTGGACCAAGCTTTCGATAAATATATCCTTATCTTCATCAGGGTACACTACAAAAGAATACAGGGAGTTACGCGTAATTCCAACAACATTTCAAAACTTACATTTAGAGGTTAAAATGTACAAACTATTATATTAGTACATTGATGTTGAATAAGGAACCGGTTGGTATGTCAAAAGCCAATCAAGCTGAGTTTGACTCTCGTTCGGTTACTGACATTTTTTCGAATATAGATGTGAAGTGTGATAGCGATTTTACTGTTCATCGGTTGGGCAAGTTTGATGCAACCAATCCAAACCTTTGTCGGCCAATTAAAGTTCGCTTACCTAATGAAACATCAGTTTCCGTATTAACAAGGAATTCTATAAAACTTAAATCACTGGATAAATTTAAGCACATTTCTATCTCTTCTGATAGGACACCGATGCAGAATGCCCTTTATCGAACAGTAAGGTCCGATCTGAATAGGAGGATAGCTGACGGTGAATCTAATTTGTTTATAAAATACGTCAAAGGAATTCCAACTATTGTCAACCGTAATAACGCTGCTGATTCGTCTGCTTTAAACTAAAATTGCCCAACAGCGCCCGAACTAAATTATCTTTACAGTTATATTATCAAAACGTTAGAGGACTACGTACCAAAACTCACAATTTTTACACTGCTTCGTCTGAAGGTTCTTTTGACTTACTATTTTTTACTGAAACATGGTTGAACGCTTCTATTTCTGATGGCGAATTATTTGATCACCGCTACCAGGTTTTCCGTTGTGATAGAAATATTGCGCAGGCCTCCCTAGGTGGGGGTACTTTACTTGCTATTTCTAAAGAGTACACCGCAGTTAGCGTAGACACAACGTTCATCGAGAGACTTTGTCCGTTTATTCAGACATCTATAGCCAAGTTATATCTTGGTGATTTTTGCTTATTAATTGGAGTTGTCTATGTACCGCCTGCCATTTCACATGATGAACTTGATAGATATTTTGATGCTTTGACTACACTGATAATTAATCATAACATACTTTTGATGGGGGATTTCAATGTTTTTGAATATGCTGACAATTATAACTGCCCAAGAGCACTGAGTGTGCGAAACTTTATTGATTTTTTAAATTTGAATCAAATCAACACAATCCGAAATGCCTATGGTAGAATTCTTGATTTAATTTTCACTAACTTGGATAGTCAAATTTGTATTGAGAAGGAGCTCTATCCTTTCGTTCCTGAGGATAAGCATCATCCGGCGTTGTCGACTGCTCTATCAATTGAAATTACAAAATTTCCGACTGTTTTTCCAAACGCTGTTGTCTCTCGATTTAACTTTCGAAGAGCGAATTTTCCGACTTTATATGATGACATTGCTCTCATGGATTGGTCATTTTTAGAAGATGTAAACGACGTGGACGAAATGTTGGATTTGTTTTATACTTCTCTTTATAATTTAATAGAGAAATCGGTGCCTTGCACTCAACAGAAGCAAAACAATTATCCTCAGTGGTTCTCTAAGGAAATAATTAAAAACCTTAAAACTAAAGAGTACTATAGACACAAGTACAGAACTACCAAACAAACGTTCTATCTCGATCACTTCATTAGAATGAGATCACTAGTAAAAGAACAAATCGACGCTGCTTACAATTCCTTTTGGCAACATGCCTCTGATAATTTAAAGCACGATCCTAGTGATTTCTGGAATTTCGTTCGACTAAAGCAAGGTACTAGCAGAATACCGTCGATCGTTAGAGATGATGTAGATGAATATACTATTCCGATTGATATAGTCAATGCTTTCGATTCCTATTTTTCATCTGTTTATTCTGACAATTCCAGGGATTTTACTGACGCAGTTCCCACGTTGCCAATGTTTAATATCCATCAGGTAACCGAGGAGGAGATAATTGCTGTAATGAGGGGTTTTAGCTCCAAACTCACAGCGGGTGAAGACCAAATACCTAGTTTTCTGGTACGTGATGTACGATTTGCGTTAGCTAAACCGTTGATGTACATTATTAATCGCTCTATAACTGCTTCGATTTTCCCTCAGAGATGGAAGTCAGCTAGAATCACGCCCGTATTTAAGAAAGGTGACAAGTCCTTGGTAACCAACTATAGACCAATTGCTATTCTATCTAATTTTGCAAAGGTATATGAGCAGATAATTTTTAATACAATTTATCGTCACACACAATCATATGTATCGCCTCACCAACATGGTTTTGTGCCTAAACGCTCGACAATAACTAATTTATGTTGTCTTACCCAGTACGTCGCAGAGGTAATGGATGTTGGTGGACAAGTCGACGTAGTTTATACCGATTTTGAGAAGGCCTTTGATCGCATTGATCACAGTATGTTGCTACAGAAATTGAGCTATTTTGGTATGTCTTCTAATTCATTAAATTTGATGAAATCGTACCTTGCTGATAGAGTATGTCGTGTTTTTTACAATGGATTTTATTCCGACGGCTACTCGCCTACATCTGGAGTTCCTCAAGGATCCAATCTGGGACCGCTGCTATTTGTTCTATATATAAACGATTTATTAGACTCGCTTACCTGTCCAGTGCTTGCTTATGCTGATGATTTGAAAATTTTTGTGGAGGTCAGATCATTGGATGACTCTAGGATGCTGCAGAACAACCTGGACATTATTCAGAAGTGGTGCAATTTCAATGCCCTTTCTTTAAGTGTCAGTAAATGTACTTATATATCATTTACAAAGAAGTTAAATAAAATCGACACAGTTTATATTGCGGCTTCCATACCTCTAACAAGGGTCTCTACGGTGAAGGATCTGGGAGTGCTGTTTGACTCAGAACTTTCTTTCTTGCCCTATATTGAGGAGATGTGCTCTCAGGCTTGGAGAACTTTGGGTTTCATACTGAGGATCATGGGTCGATTTGCTGATTTTGGTACCCTGAAAACGCTATTTATGGCTCTGGTGATCTCTCGCCTCCAGTATGCCTCTGTAATATGGTACCCTATTTACACGTCACAACAACTAATGGTTGAGAAAGTCCAGCGTCGATTTCTCAAATTTTTGTCATATCGTATGGATGGTCAATATCCGCCTAAAGGAGTGAACTACTTAGATCTACTGCATCGCCACAAGCTTCCTTCTCTGCAGGATAGAAGAATGGTCCAAAGTGCCTCGTTCTTGCAAAAGTTGATGTGTGGTGAGATCGACTGTGCGTGGTTGTTGTCGCGAGTGAATATAGTGGTGCCGCGCATAAATTCTCGGTCCCATTTGTATTTTTATCCACCTTTATGCAGAACAAATGTCAAAAAAAGGGCGCCGATAACACATATGATCACGAACATGAACGATAGTTGTAGGCTAGAATAAACATTGCATTTTCTGTCTCTTTTCTTGCCTCTTTTATTTGATTGTATTATTATTTAGGTATGTATTATATGCATTTTAATTTCACTTGTAATTATATTGATGTACAATTTGTAATAATTTGTATATTTTTTGTATTTTGCCCTTAATATGGTGCGCTGTTGGGCAATAAAGTTTATTATTATTATTATTAAGAAGCCCCCAAAAAGACATCAATTAAAGAATGAAGATGATATCCAGGCCAAAAACACTAATTAAATTAACGACAACGTGGTTAACCACCAACGCGATCAACCGTCAATAAAAGGCGCGAAACCGATGGAACAAGGGACGGCAACTGTCTCTGGTGGAAAAACTTAAGGAAACAAAAGTCACCAGGTTGACGTTCGACAGAGAGAGTCAAGGAAAAAAGGAAAGGAACAAGTCAAGGACCAGAAACTTACAAAACGGACCCTATCCTAAGCACTAAGCCCTAATAATAATTTAATTAAAAATTTATTAAAATAAAAGACCATAAGGCCGAAATTAACAAACGGCAGAAGGCCCAGGGAAAAGGGAGAGGAACACGACATCCAAAGACACCAACACAAAATCCGGAGGCAAGGTCAGATTTCTCATCTCGTCAGCAAAGGCAAAAGAGTCACTGATATTGGAGGTGGTTCTATTAGAGAGGGCTGATGACAAGATAGTAGCCAGGTAGCTGGACAACCGATAAATAGGAGAGCGGACTAAGGAAATAATCGGTCTCAATGGCGACCCTTCTTTGTGTATCTTTGGGAGGCCATACAATTTCGGAGCTATACCATTATAACACACCAAGGACCTATATATTTGCTTAGACATGTCTTCTTTATCAAGCAGTTACTTGTTCTGCTTCCTGTGGATAGAAGAGGTAGGGTCTGACTTAAGTATTACAGATAGTAATGCGAGAGATTTATTAACATATTGGGATAGATTCAAAACCACAGTAACTTGTCTCTTATTTGCAAGAACTACCACAAGTGGGTCAGGTCTTAGCTTGGAGACGGGAAATCTGACCGGCCATCGGGAGAGCCGTTGTCCTTGTTTTAACAAGATTGGTGACACGTGCCCTTTTTAAATTTAGAGACACCTTGGGGATAGATCTGAACACCGATTCAACGTCACAGAGAAGTTGCGGGATTTTTTGGTTGATTTCCCAATAACTTAAACTGACTTCTTAACGTTGTACAACCAATACTTCCACCTCTTTTATTTTTATCCTTAATACGCATATCCTCCCGCTTATAGGTTTGAAGTCTAGAATATTAGTATATATACAAAATCTCCTAGTTCATGTTTATTTATTCTGTTGTGGTGTAATATAGTCTGTTTTGTCATATCGAATGTACCTGTTCATCTGGTTTTCTGAATTGCCAGTACATTGACTTTAGTTTCTTTAATGCTCCTTTTCTATAAACGGTACATATGGCTCAAGTTCCAATACTCATGTCCATCTTCCATCAACTTTTTCTAGGCTTCACTTAAGGTTCTCTAATATATACTCATAATTCTTTTTCCGGTGTTGGGTTGTTTCGCTTACGACTAACCCTCAACCTGGAGGATCAGAGTCTTTTCTGTCGGGGTTACCATACTACCTTAGACAATCAGTATCGATTATTTAAGAGCGGCAAAAATTCGCCTTCATCTTCTGTCGTCGGCTGCGTAACGACATTACTTCATTACATATACCCCGGGGTTCATGCAACTTCTGTCCTCGGGCAGCTGGGACTAAAGTTCGTTGGCAGAGCTGATATCAATTCTTCGAAAGCGAAGAAAAAGAAATGTGACTATAGCACCATTAGAATGAGAAAGAAACAACAGCAATGAAACACATTTCCAACCTTTGACCCACAAAATTGTGATATTTCAAAAAAATAAATAAAAATGAATTGCAAAAATTTTATTTAACACAATTAAGCAAATTTAACAAATTACTACATTTTTTTTAATATTCAAAACAACATTATTCATTATTATTATTGTCCCCCTTTTTGTTTTGATTGAATCTTTTGGAGGAGTGCTTCAGAATCCATATTCATCTGCTTAAATTTATTACTCAAAAAGGCATATTTTTGATTAAGATAATAATCTTTTTTGGAAGCATTCCCCTCATTATTCACAGCGCGTTTGGCAACGTTATGATTTCCTTCGATTTTATCAATAATCGCTTTTAATTGATCGGCTTTCATTTGGTGAAGAAAATTTTGTAAAAATGTGAGTTTCTCTTGAATAATTTTCTTGGGGTCATTATTTAAATCATTTTCATTTTCTAATAATTCTTCTTGTAATTTGGCTTCTTTTTTAGCTTCGATTTTATTTTTGATTGTTTCAAAATCGATCGGGGTTCCTTTAAATTTATTTTCCATGAACGATAATTTTTGGTTCAAAAAATAATTTCCAATCGATGGATCTTTAACGTTGGTTTCTTCAACAGCTCTTTTCGCGATTTGATGAGTTTCGGTTAATTTTTGAGCATGAAGTTGTTTTAAATAATTTAATAAATTTGTTACATTATTTTCTTCTTGGGCGATTTGTTGTTCTTGTTCTTTAGCTGCTTGTTTCGCCTCGATTTTTTGTTTAATCAACTCAAAATCTACTAAAGGCGAATCTTTAAATTTATTTTCTAAGAAAGATAATTTTTGGTTTAAGAAATAATTTCCAATTGCAGCTCCAGAAGCTGGATTTGATTCCTCTTTAATTGCCCGCTTTGCAATTCCGTGATTTAATTGGTTATTGAAGTGTTGGCTTAATAGGTTTTCTAAGAAAGCTACTTTTTCGTTGAAAATGTCCAAATTTGGATCTTCGGTTTGTTTGGACTCAATTTTTTCTTTGATGAAATTGAATTTTGGGTTAAATTTATTTTGTAAAAACCACAATTTTTGATCTTGCGTTTCTGGGCTTGTTTCAGCAATTTCAGCTTCTTTCTCCGCTAATCTTTTTGCTTCGATTTTTTGTTTAATTAAATCGAAATCTACTAGAGGTGAATTTTTAAATTTACCCTCAAGAAAATTCAACTTTTGGTTTAGAAAATGATCGCCGATTTCAGAGCCATCATTAGGTGGCAAAAAAAATGCGTTTGAGAATAATAAAACCTGCAAAAAAAAATTTATTAATTAAAAAATATTAATTAAAATTAATATAGTTATACAACTTACAGATGAAAATAGGAAAATAACTTGAATAACAGCCATGTTTTTTTTAATTCACTATTAATAAAGTTTTAAAACTTGAATTTATTCGTTCTAAGTATCTTTGGACTTACTAACGATTAGTTTATCCAAATTTGGTTTTATATACTAGAAATTTTTGCGCAAACAATCTTTTAAAAAAATCGGCTATTGTCTTGTCTTAGTCATAGAACATGACTAAAACATGACAACTTTGAGTTACAACTTTGTGGAATACAGTTTGAATTATGAATGGAAACTTTTAATTTATAAAAAAACAGATAAACTGCATCATATTACGCAAATGATAATAAGATTGCTCTATAAACATATTTTTTTTAAATATTTGTGAAATATTGATCAGGAGATAATGAAGCGTAAATAATTTTTGCGATAAAAAATTTAAAAAGGTTTATTTAGAATTAATCAAAAGATGAAAAATTCTTAAACTAAAATAATTTCAAAGTTTTCATTTATTATAAATTATCGCTGTATTTAATTATAATCATTAATCCCTGCAATAGTTAGGTTGGGTTGGTTTGCATAGCTTTATAGACAACTATGCAACCCATCCCAATCCAACCAGACACAGTTTTAGAGTTGCAAACCAACCCAGCAATAAACCTGCATCTTATTGGGTTGGATTGAATTGGGTTGTATAGCTGTCTGTAAAGCAATGCAATCCAACCCAACCCTAATCCTATATCTAGTTGGGTTGGGTTGGTTTGCATAGCTTTATAGACAACTATGCAATCCATCTCAATTCAACCAGATACAGTTTTAGAGTTGCAAACCAACCCAGGAATACACCTGCATCTTATTAGGTTGGATTGGATTGGGTTGTATAGCTGTCTGTAAAGCAATGCAATCCAACCCAACCCTAATCCTATATCTAGTTGGGTTGGGTTGGTTTGCATAGCTTTATAGACAACTATGCAATCCATCTCAATTCAACCAGATACAGTTTTAGAGTTGCAAACCAACCCAGGAATACACCTGCATCTTATTAGGTTGGATTGGATTGGGTTGTATAGCTGTCTGTAAAGCAATGCAATCCAACCCAACCCTAATCCTATATCTAGTTGGGTTGGGTTGGTTTGCATAGCTTTATAGACAGCTATGCAACCCAATCCTACTCGTATGTGAACAATAAAAGCTTGTTGAGAACAAAAAAGTGGTGCCAGGTTTAATGTTATTAATTAGCAAAATTTAGAATTACTAAATTATTTCTTCGGATAACATCTTGTCAATATGTATGAACATTACTATTATAAGATATTGTCTCACAAGACATCTTTGTTAGTAATTCTTAAAGATATCGATCTGAGTCTGTGCATTCAGTGTTAATAAGAAAATTTAAACTACCACAGATGGTAAGATCGAGATACATCAAGGAAACCTTTATAAATCCAAACGCCAATTCGAGCGTTTTATTGAAAAATATAATTTGCCTCTCGTGTAGAGAAATGAACTAATTGCAGAAAAGTAGATAATAGATACATCGTGCTATCAGGCATAACGTCTTGAACCTTGGGAGAAAATGTCCAGGAAAGAATCCGGAAATCAAACCCGGGTAAACTGCACGCAAGCTTAAACGGCTTGCTACTAGGCTATCCCTAGTACCCATGTCGATGTCTACTCAGTATCAAAAACTATGAGAAACGCCCTTGAACAAATTGATAGCAGCTCTGCCAACGAACTTTAGTCTCAGCTCCCCGAGGACAAAACTTGCATGAACCCCAGGTGCATGTCGTGAAATGAATGCACGGTATGTAGCCGACGAGAGATTATGAAGACGAGTTTTTGCCACTCTTAAATAATCGGTACTGATTGTCTAAGGTAGTATGCTGACCCCGACAGAAATGTTGCTGGTTCTCCTAGAGGTAACAACCCAACACCGGAGAAGAACTATATGTTACGGAACCTCAAATGAAGCCTAGGAAACGTTTTATTGAAAACTATAACTTGCCTCTCGTGTGGAGAAATGAACTAATTCCAGAAAAGTAGAAGATAAATATAATACCTGTAACAACTCAGGAGCATCACACTACTAAGTACCTACTACCTACATAGTGCTATCAGACATAACGTCTAAAACCTTACTCCGAATGAACCCTGGGAGTACATCAAAGTAGATTTACGCAATGATACGCACTCTGCGCAAGATTCAAGAAAAATTCTTCCAAAATAACTTGGACCTGTACAGCATTTATATCGATTTCAAACAAGTCTTTGATAAAACAAATGCTACAACACCTAGTTATATCATAGAAGCTGACATCACAGCTTAATTAAAATCACGCTAACTGGATCGAAGATAAGCGTCAGAATTCAGGGAGAGCTAACAGAACTGTTTGCGGATGCAGACAAAATGACGAGTTATCTGCAGTAGTTGATCCACTCAGTTAATTTTTACCATTCTGTCCTCTCCTAACATCTCCCTCTTCAGCGTAATACTTCCTTTTTTTTCAACATCTTCCAACCTTTCTTAATATTCTCCTCATTCTCCTGTCCGTTGGTTTCCAGTGTTATTGTTATTCTCCCTTAATCAAACGAAATCAGCGTCTTCTATTATGCTGTTTAGTTCATGGTTCATTCCTATTCCACATTGCTGTCATTATGTGATATTGGGCCATAAATTCTTCTTTTCGTTCTAATATTCTTAGGCTTTTCTCGTCGCGTCATTTTAATAGAATCCATGCTTCGTAGTCATAGGTTACGGCTGGTCTTATAATGCTCTTGTATATTTTTAGTTTTGAAGTTTGGTGTAAGATTTTGGATTTCATTTCTCACTTGTCTATCGTTGCTGATATGATTAAAATGATTTATTTTAGAGTATGAGAATTGTTCTACTTGTTTGAAGTATAGATTTTCGTAGGTTAGGTAGTCTTTGATGATTGCTTTTCTGTCATCGGCGAAGATACTTTTGGTACCTGTGTAACCTGTATTGGTGGTTTTTCTGAATGATATTTCTAGATGAAAACAAATTAAATGTCTGAAAGTTGAATGTGGAGAATAAGAATGAACCACGAATGCTTGAATGAATAGCTAATGGATGGTGCACACATAGTACGACACATAAAAGCACTGAAAATAGTGTGGTTGAGACATCTGGAATTGAAGCAGAGAGACGCTATAGGAACAGAAAACTACACGAAGACCAAAGAAACGATGGTAGAACGAGCTTGGTGCACAAAACTGGACTATAGTGTTGGAAGAACAATATTGCCTAAACGGTACAAATCACGTGATGGCAACTTGAGTGTAAATAACCTACACAGTGACAATACAGTGTTACACATGTTGTTTGTATAAATACATATGTTTTAAGGAATTTTGCAGATTTAGGGAAATGTTCACATTTACCAATTATGTAAATTCGCTGTAACATATAGACAATAAATTGACTAGTGTCTAGTCGATATCTATTTATGAGTTAGTCGGTTAACTTTCACGTATAGCTTGTACTGTAACGGAAGCAGATACTGAACCATATTGAACTGCTCTAGGTGGCAGATATGATTTGACATTGACTGCTGTCAAGCAAGTTTTAAACTACTATGGCCTGGCAATCATATGAAAAACAAATGCTGTAAAAAAAGATAAAAACTGCCACATGGCCTTTGTACTTTCAACTGATACAAAACCATCCCATGAGCTTTGTTCAAAAAATTTTTAATCCTACTTGTGAGAATCTCCGTTTTGCTGACGGAAATGATAGTTCCAGGTGTGATGGTAATCATTTTTAGGACTACTTCATAGATAAGGGATAGTAATATAGATTTGCCACTTAACAACATAAAACTGAACTGCCATAAGCGCCATCTGTTGAAGTGTTTTCCGCTAAGGAAAACTTTTAGCGGGTATTTATTGTATTGTAATTTTTTTTAGAATTCCTTTTTTTACAGAAAACACATTGAATTACTAATGATAATATGTATTTCAATGTCTTTTGTGTTGTCATATCCAAGTAATTGGGTCGCAAAGTAAAACAACTACTAAATAAATACTACTAAAATATAGTGTAATAAATAATAATGTAAATACCCAAAATGAATATAAAAGTGATACAACTAAAAATTTAACAGATTCTGAAAAAAATGTAGAGGAAGATGATGAAATAGACATTGACGAGGAATATAATACTTATTTCCTTATCTTGGCAATGTTATAAATAAGTTTGGTGTATAGATAATCGACTCTGCATTCTTGAAGTACTTGCAAAACTGCCATCAACTCAATTTAAATCAAATGTTATAAATACTTCTATATACCCATCTTGGGTAAATACCCCCAGGTATATATCCAGAGTATTTTCCCTTGAAAATAAATACCCGGGTATTTAACAACACTGACTAAAATACATACAATTTAATGACAAATGTAGAGTTGGTACACTGGCAGGTTTTAAGTATGCATTTGTTGCTCTATCACTGCTTTGGAAATGCCTATGACAAACACGGTGCGATCTATAGATTATATCCAGTGAAAGTTCTGTAAGTTTTGAATTTCCACATTTTAAAATCCACTCCTTACACAGATTCTCTTTCTTTTGTGGATAAGGAAAACGGTGACGACTGAAGGTTGTATCCGTTCATCCAAAAATGGCACAGGCGCGATTCCTGTTAATACACCGATCCATTCTAAAAGTTAAATTAATTGCTAATCTTGAAAGTTAGTTATGTTTATTATTTCTTATTATTTGCAAAGTCAAATTCAAATGTATGTGTGCGTGTTTTCAAGACTTCAGCGACATCGAGCGAATTGTTCTCCTTAAAAATATGTTTTGCCTATATTGGTGCCCACACCATAGACTACTTTGACAGTGGGGAATAATTCAGTTAATATTTTTTTGTTATACAGGGTGATTTATTAGCTCACTGTCAAGCCTTGACATATGATAGCTAATCCAATTACCAAAAAAAAAATGTTAATGAACTATGTCCTATTTCAATTATTTACGAAATTATAACACTAAAGTTTTCTGCTGCGAATTTATTAATAGTCTGTAAAATCAAACATTCAACAAAAACAAAGTTGTCATTGTAATATGTCAGTTTGTTGTAAGGTTTAATTATTACATACATATAAATATATGTATGTAAATAATATATATATAAATGTACGCTTATAGCACTGAAGAGTATGCTGATATAATTTTCGTGTATGGTTTTTGCAATGGAAATGCTCGACAATCAGTACGAGAATATCAAGAGCGTCATTTGCCATATTATTCAGTTTTTAGCGATTCTTTCAAAAGACTTCATGAAACAGGTATTCCTGCTCCAGCAAAAGCTATTCGACCGTATGTAGTTACGTAGAGGACGAAGAAGCTGTAATTAATGCTGTCATCGATAATCCTTCCATCAGCACTCGAAGAATAGCACACAACATACATGTAAGTCAAAATTTTTATGGCGCGTATTGAACCGCGAAGTCCTTCATCCGTATCGTAAACAGAATGTTCAAGCTCTACAGCCAGGAAATAATCAGCAACGGTTAGCATTTTGTGAATGGTTATTGCAGCAACATGCCCAAAATAATGACTTCATTTCAAATGTTCTCTGGACAGATGAATCATGTTTTACACAAGATGGTATAANAGTATTTGTCTTCCGCAAGGAGTTTTTAGCCTTTTGCTGGCAGTATTTAGTCTTCTACATGTAGTATTGGTATTCTGCAACCAATTTGTAGTCTATTGGTAGCAGTACTTAGGTTTCTATAGACGATATCTATCTTTTTACGCAGTTTCTAGTATTGTATAGGTAGTATTTGTCCTCTATAGGAAGTATTTAGTCTTCTGCAAGTAGTATTGGTATTCTGCAGCCAATTTCTTGGCTATTTTCTAGCCAGATATGCATTGGTATAGGTCCGTCGATAGCGGTTAAAGAAGTGCGGCACGACGCCACAAGAGTCTACGTGTGTAGGTCGTTAAAATCCGTCGCATGCGACGACTCTTGCGGCTCAAGCAGACATTTTAATTCGGCTGAAGAATGTATGTATGTATTCTAGCAGAAGGAGGCTATTTTGAACAATATTTGTAATGTTTATGTGTTTAAAAAAAATGTTGCAGTTAATTATGATGTAAAAGTTAAAACTTTAAGGTGTTATAATTTCGTAAATAATTGAAATAGGACATATGTTTATTAACATTTTTTTTTGTAATGGGATTAGCTATCATATGTCAAAGTTTGATGGTGAGCTAATAAATCACCTTGTATATTTTGGAACCAAGATAGATCTGAAGTTTCTCCTATTATTAGGGATATTTGCAAGTCACTACATTGTCTCAAAAGTTCACCTATTTCCTTCAATCTTTTTATGTTCTACATGAAAACAAATATGCTTTCATCATGTTTAAGTGATTCAAGTTATCAGCTTGCGCTTACATTGTCAAGAAAAACATAAAATCTCTTCGGCAAGTAACTCATCTTCTCATTTGTAATCAAAATTCGTTCTTTTACGCCTTCTTCTCGTGACTTTGATTTTTCTATCAATATCATTTCCTCGGTTATTTCTAGCAGTATTATTAAGAAAGATTGGAAACCATTTTTCCGATAATTATTAAGCTAATACGTAAATTTAATGTAGTTCTAAATTGAGTGACTAACACTTAATGCATTTTTCCACTCTGTCACAAATTAGTTCTAACATTTATGTTTGAATATCTCCTAAAGTTTTGACTCAACACGGCAAAGAGACTAGACTTTATAGCCAAAAAAGATTTTGCTTGAATATAAGATGTTGCATCTTCTAGGTTGAGTCGCTTCCACATGATAAAAAATAAGAAGTGACTCTGTCATTGATGAATTTTAAGTAAACGTTTCTGAACACAATTTTTTTCTCCAAGCTTATTATTATATCCTTACATTTTGCAATTTCTCAATGGTATATCTAGCTAATCTAACTCTGTGATTAAATAATTATTCAAATTTTGAGTTGTGTTTATTTTGACTGTTACGAAACCAATAAAGTGTTCCTCAATGTCAGAAAGTAATTCGCCGATTGCTCGTTAAGAGTACCGCTGTCCATAAGAACAACATCTTCGTTAAACAATTCAGATTATTAGTACCTGTTGTTAAAGCTTGCAGAACCCATTCGTTAAAGTTTTGAACATTTCTCATTGTTCGAAGGTGATTCTTTTTTTCTATTTTATATATTTTTTTATAATTTAGAGACCATTTTCGTATTCAAACAGTACTCTCACTAATCTTAGACCAGAGTGATGCAGAAAACAATATGAATATGTGTTAATAAAATAGTATTTTCAAGATTTTATGATATTCAGTTTCATCATTATTATTGTTATTACGTTAAATTAGTTTAATTAAAAAATAATTGTGCAATTCTTGTTTGTGCTAAAACTCTGTTATATTTCAAAAATATGTAATAACAAAATGTTGTAACAATAAAAATAAATTCATAAATTCACGAATGACTCAGTTTTTATCATTAGAATAATAAAAAATTGGATACAACTAGATAAATGGGTGCGCAACATCATCTGATTAAATGACGACAATTACAGATAATTTTCTTATTGTTCTAGGTTGATTCAATTCTGCGAACGAACGAATTTAATTATGAATTTTTTGAAGGATCTGTTAAATCGTACGATTCCAATCAATTGGGGTCAAATAATCCAATGGAAGATACTAGGTCGGAAGCAAAATGCACATTAACGACGGGTAATAATAATAAAAAAAAGATTGCATGAGTCAAAATGAAACTAATTAATTTTTAGGATTATTATTTGGAGTGTTTGATGGTCATGGAGGTGGTGCTTGTGCTCAAGTGATAGCGAAACGTCTTTACAAATACATCGCTGCAAGTCTATTACCAACGGAAGCCTTAGAAAAATATATGAAATCATTAGAAAACGTAGAAAATCCTTTAGATTTAATCAAATCTTACAACGATAAAGTACAATTTGTCGACGAAGTACGTGCCATTTACAATGATAGTTTTCTCAATTATATTAATAGATTAAAAGAGGTAAATCGAAAATTATTTAATTTTATTTTAAAAAATGAATCAAAAACAAATTCTAGGTAGGTAACAAACAAAGTTTTGAAATGAGTCAAGCGTTAGAACAGGCTTTTCTTCGTTTAGATGAAGATCTATCGAATGAGGCTATACCGAAATCCGGCGATCCTATTAACATGAAAACGCTTTCAGTTGCGATGACTGGTGCCGTTGCTTGTGTGGCCCACGTGGATGGACCTCATTTACACGTTGCGAATGTTGGGGATTGTAACGCCGTTTTAGGTGAATTAAAAAAAATTAAATTATATTTGTTATAAAAAAAAATTGTAGGAGTAACTACCGAAACGAATTCTTGGATGGCAAAAAAATTAACAACCGAACATAATACTTATAACCAACCAGAAGTTGATCGAATCTTAAAAGAACACCCATCAAACGAAGCGAATACAATAATTAAAATGGAACGATTATTGGGCCAATTAGCTCCGTTACGAGCGATGGGCGATTTCCGATATAAATGGTCAAAAGAATTAATGTCAACGATTGTAACGAAATATTTTGGTGAACATATGGTGCCTCCGAATTATTACACACCGCCGTATTTAACTGCTAAACCGGATGTGATTTATCATAAATTAACCCCGCGTGATAAATTCTTAATTTTGGCAACCGATGGTTTATGGGATATTATCTCTCCGTTACAAGTTGTTCGATTAGTCGGCGAACACATGAGTGGAAAAGTAACGTTAAGTCCGTTAAAATTACCTCGAAAAAATATGACCTTAAACGAAATTAACGGGATGTTAATGCAACGGAAAGAAGGATTAAAAACGAAACCGAAAGATAGTAACGCGGCTACGCATTTGATACGAAACGCGCTTGGAGGAACCGAATATGGAATCGATCACGGGAAATTATCGCAATTATTGAGTCTTCCTGAAGATGTCGTGCGTGTTTTTAGGGATGATATTACAATTACTATTATTTACTTCGATTCTGAGTACCTAAGACATTGTCCTGCGTAGCATTTTTCTATTAATTAGCTTAAATTTGTTGTGTTTTCAAAGTTGATTTTTTTTTTAATAAATTTTTATTTTAAAAGAAATCGTTATCGATTAAACTAATAGAAACTAATAGATAATTTACTGAATTCAAATTAAAATCGGTTTTAAATCAACTTGAATTAATTTATTTATTTAATCTAGGATATTATAGATATTAAAGACAAATACAAAAAGTAACAAGGAAAGTGCGATCTAGTTTTGGGTTTAATGTTAGTTCTAATTTTAGTTCTACTTTTCATTCAATAAAAATATACAAAAATCTAGCGCTGAATGACAATTAAAACTACTATGCACTTACACTGTTCCATATAATATACGAGCTCTAACAACTATATATTGGGACAAAATAAAATGTGTATATAATTAACAACAATTAAAAGTTTATTTTGTTTTAATAATTTTTTCAGATTAATATCATTTGAGTAGATAATTAACAACAATTTTGTCTAATGAACAACACAAAAAACCAAAACTTGTAATAGGATATATAACTTCTAATTAAACTAGAAAAATGTACATTTTCCTTGACAACTTAATATTGGGGCAGTCTAAAGTAACTTCCATAAAAATTGAACAAATTAAGATAAGTAAGCTGTGAAAATAACGTAAAATGAAAGGTCAAATTGCCAGTTTGTTCCAAACCTTGTAACATTGTTGCTGTTAAGTAAATCTGTATTTACCAATTAAAATGGTGCGTGGTTAAAAATTATTGCCGCAATAAACCAATACGTGAAATAGCAGACGAACTTAATATTCCTAAAAGCACAGTGTGGAATGTAATTAAACATTATGGAGAAACTGGGCAAATTTTAGAAAAAAAGATAAAAGTTCAGGTCGTCCAAAGTAAGTTTCTGATAGAAATAAAAGAATACTTGTAAAAATCTGCAAGTTACCGCTGAATGGAATAATGAAACTGGATTAAATTTATCTATTAATGGATTCTAAAAAGGGTATTAAAGTTTTACAAGGTTTACTTACAAGTAATAATTTAAAAATGTAGTTTTTAGAAAATTGTTTTATAGGCAAAAGAAAAACCATTGTTAATAGAAAAACAAAAGAAAGCCAGGCAAAATCTAAATTGTCTTGGTCAGCAGAAGATTGGTCCAGGGTAATATTCAGCGATGAATCGAAATTTGATGTATGTGTTGGCGATTACCGTAAACGCGTACTTCGCAATAAACATGAGGCATTTCATAAAGATTATTTAAAACGTTGTGTAAAATTTCCGAAGGGAGTAATGATTTGAGGCTGTATGACGATGCTTTGAATTTATTGATGGTACCGTGAACGCCGCAAAATATCAACAAATACTACAAAACAGCTTACTACCAAGTATCGTGAAGTTAAATGTTAAAAATTACATATTTCAGCATATGTTTCGGCTTGTCATACGGCCAAAACTACAAAAAAGTGGTTTGGCGATCAAAAAAAAAAATTAATGTTCTGTCTTGGTCTTCCAACAGTCCAGATCTGAATCTAATTGAAACAGTGTGGCACAAAATGAAAGAAACTTTGAGGAACAACCCACAACGGACATTGCCAGAACTTAAAGCCAAAATAAAACAAATTTGGGATGGATTTACTCCTGAACATTGTCTAACCTTAGTGAATTCAATGCCCAACCGAATTCAAGCGATTATAAAATCTAAGAGCTATATATAAATCGTGCCATGTCCCAATATTTAGTTGTCAGGCAAAATGTACATTTTTCTAGTTTGATTAGAAGTAATAGGATATGTATTTTGCTTTTTGTGTTGTTCACAGGGTTGGGCATTTTTGCACTACCACTGTCTATCCAGTGGTAGTTAAAATGCAAAATCCTAAACCTTTAGTGATAGTGGAAAAAATGCACTATCACTAGACTTTTAGTGAAACATGATCTTTACAGATTTTTTCTGAACCTATTGCTGTACAATACATTAACATTAATTGTAATTTTAGCAGAGAAGAACAATAAAAACATTTTCCGAACATCGTCTTAATCACTTCTGTAATACTGTAGTGTGCCAGGGAAAAAAATAAAGCGCAAAACTGATAACAGTCATTAAATGATATTTCAATGCCTGTAGCAGTTGTAAATGATTATTTTTTCCCATGGCACACTCAGTATAACACAAGCGACTTTAAGAGAATGTTCGGAAGCTATTTTAATGTTTTTCTCTACTACAATTACAATTAATGTTGATGTATTGTACATTAATGGATTCATAAAAAGAATCTATCCAATAACGTGAAGAAAAACATACCGAGCAATTTGAAAATTAAAAGTTGATAATGGCTTAAAACTGAAGATGGCGTTGGAAAAAGTTTAATTGCAGCATGAATCATAGTATTCATCAAACCATTTCATTTGATACCTTGCTCATGAAAATCAGAATGTAAATGGCGGAGTTACAGCTTGGGGCGTTTTTTATCTGACACCCTGTCTATAACATATATACAGGGTGTCACACAAAAAACGCCCCAAGCTGTAACTCTGTCATTTACAGTCCGATTTTCATGAGTGAGGTAACAAATGAAATGGTTTGATGAATACTATGATTCATGCTACAAATAAACTTTTTCCAGCGCTGTCTTTAATTTCAAGCGATTATCAACTTTTGATTTTCAAACTGCTCGGTATGTTTTTCTACACGTTATTGTACCGAGTATGTATAGAGATTTTTTTTTCTGAACCCAATGATGTACAATACATTAACATTAATTGTAATTTTAGCAGAGAAAAACAATTAAAACATTTTCCGAACATTGTCTTAGTCACTTCTGTAATACTGTAGTGTGCCAGGGAAAAAAATAAAGCGCAAAACTGATAACAGTCATTAAATGATATTTCAATGCCTGTAGCAGTTGTAAATGATTATTTTTTCCCATGGCACACTACAGTATAACACAAGCGACTTTAAGAGAATGTTCGGAAGCTATTTTAATGTTTTTCTCTACTACAATTACAATTAATGTTCATGTATTGTACATCAATGGACTCAGAAAAGGAATCTTTATCCAATAGCGTGAAAAAAAACATACCGAGCAATTTGAAAATCAAAAGTTGGTAATCGCTTGAAATTCAAGATGGCGTTGGAAAAAGTTTATTTGTAGCATGAATCATAGTATTCATCAAACCTTTTCATTTGATATTTCGCGCATGAAAATCGGAATTTAAATGACAGAGTTACAGGTTGGGGCGTTTTTTGTGTGACACCCTGTATAACTGAACTTGAACCTCAGTTAAGTTGTCCAACTCCCACATTTCAACTTCGACTTTTTCGATTACATGCTGAACACATTTTCCCCATTTTTCAGCGGTTATATTTTGCAAGGCTTCATTAAAAAGGTTTTCTAAATCTGCAAATTTGAAGCTTGTATTACGTTGTGCTATATAATTTTTAGCATCAACCCATATTAACTCAATCGGGTTAAGTTCGCAATGATATGGCGGTAAACGAAGAACGGTCTTATTTTGACTCGCGGCCATTTCATCAATAATATACTTTTGGTATTTTGCTTTATGTTGCTTAACTATTGCCAAAAGGTGAACCTTAAGCATAGAGTCATGAAACTGAATGTTTTTAGAGCGCAACCAGCTTTGAACATCCCCTCTTTTCGAACCACTTTTTGGTATTTTTTCAATTCGCCGAAAGTGATGAATACCATAATACACCATTATCAAGTACTATAACGGAGTTTGCATCTAAATGGGATACTATATTTTCAAACCAATTTTCAAATGAGGCTTGTCTGCCCGAAGTCATGATTTCGTCAACCCATACATAAAGGGTTGCGTGCCCTGCATTAACTCATGTTTCATCAAGGTAGTATATGGATCTATTTTCTTTCCTATACGCTTTAATTTTAGTAAGGTAATCTCTTCTCCACATTATAATTTCTTCCCTATCCATCAACAAGCTATTCCGTCCTCTCTTTTGCCATTTAAAATTTAATCTTTTAAAAGTTTTTCAATTGAGGGTATTTCATTGCGGAAAAGGAATTCATGAACTTTTCTTCTTATCGCATACTTATAAGCTTCATCAAGATTTTGGACTGTAGTTGTGCAATTTTGATTTGTTTTTGGTTCAGAAAAACTATCATTTGTTTTGTATTCCCTAATAACCTTAAAGACTGAAGTACGTCTTACTCCAATCTTTTCCGCAACTTTGAGTGCAACCTCACTTACGGTTGTTTCCTGGTTTTTAACTTGAGGCCTCAAAATGTTCAGCTTCGAATCTTAATAACAACAACAATTAACCAGAAAAACAATAACTAAATAATAAAACACTGCACTTTCCTTTTCCACATTATGTTTCCACACCGCTAACAACTACCATATGATGAGCAGAATGCGCCCCTGACGAAAATTTCGCCTGTAATTCCTCACGCACTCAGAATCGGCCAATAAGAAACGTATTCTCCACCTACAAATGACTCTCATCACGCATCTAGCGGTTTTTGTTTGCCTTGGATTTGAATAGACTTTAGTGGAAAACTAACACTAGACTGAGAACCAGAAACTAAACCCGAATGATTCTAGTTCTAGGTCTTGTGTTAGTTCTAGTTTTAGTGCAATAAAAATATGCAACACAGTGATATCTTATGCTAACTAGCGCTACCTACCACTATCACTAGAACTAACACTAGACCTAGAACTAGAAACATTCGGATTTAGCCGCACGTCCCTCAAGACGGCTAAACCCGAATGATTCTAGTTCTAGGTTTTGTGTTCGTTCTAGTTTTAGTTCAATAAAAATATCTAACACTGAATAGCAACTAAAACTAGAGCTAACACTAACTCTACAAATAACACCAGACCTAGAATTAGAAACATTCGGATTTAGCCGTCTTAAGAGACGATTGGCTATACCTGAATGATTCTAGTTCTAGGTTTAGTGTTAATTCTACTTCTAGATCAATAAAAATTTGCAACAATTTAGCGCTGAATAAGAACTAAAACTAACACTAGACAACAAATAAAAAAGTTTCGAGTTTTCGTCTCTTAACACTTTGCCGTCCGCACTAATTCAGATTACTAATAATAATAATAGTTTATTGGCATAAAAGAATATTACAATATAAATAATACATTAAAATAACAGAGTATAGGAGTTTGCCAAAGGGTATTTCCATCAGTAAGCCAATTTATGGCGTCCTGGTCTTCCTGGAAATCCCATATATACATATAAAAAAACGAAATAAAGTAATAATAAATCAAAATTAAATTCAAACTGAAACAATTATCTTGTTGGCTGTTCTTGAAGTTATCGGGAGATTATAAATTGTCAAGTCTTATTAATCTTATCGTTGGTTCTTCTAAGTTTTCCTCTCCCCCTATTTTCATGAAATTTCGAAGATATACTGTAAATAAAATAAATGTAAAATTTGTTTTATACATTTCTTGATTTACATTTTCTTTAATACATACTTAGTATTTCTCTTTTAGATGATATGAAGCAAAACAATCCCCAAGATGTAACGCAACTCCACAAGACTTGCACATTAAATTTGTTGCCTTTCTTTTTTTGTTTTTCGCGCACACATGGCAGTTTCTTCGCTTACGCTTATTAGTTTCGGAAATAAGTATTAGTTGGTGTTGCTTTACTTGACCGGAAAGTCTGTCGATCGCATCAGAATGGGATGTAGTAGCTACCTCCAAGTTTTGCTCGTGATCTTTTATCCACGATTCAGCCACTTTCAAAAAAAAATCATGAAATCGGAGACCCTTGTGTTTTGCATTGAAATATGGACATGTCCTGAACGCATTAAATAACGCGCAATTAAAGAGGTACATGGAAACCTTTTTCGACCATTTTATAGTTTTTCTATATATAGGGTAGTAACTCAGAAAATAATCCGCCCGATCCACTCCTTTCATGTTTTTGTTATAGTCCAATACACTTTCGGGTTTTTTAATTCTGCAATTGGTTTTTCTGCATTTTTTTTGAGTGTCAATCAAAGTGGCGTTATGTATCGTAGAGATTATTCGTATCATTTTCGTTGTTGAAGGTCTCCATAATTGTGTGAGTACTTCTCCTTTTCGTTGATGGCAAGCTTCAAACACATTGAGTTTAGCGCGTTTTAATTTTTCTGGAAATCCTTTTCGTTGCCGTATCGTTCCACAGACTCGAATTTTCTTTGTAAGTAAATTCTCCGCAAGTTCTACACTGTTGTAGTAATTGTCCATGTATAGATGATGCCACTTGCCATAAGCACGTGTTAGTAATTCCATCACTGTTTTTGGTACTGGCTGTCCAACGCCGGAATATATTTTGAATGCGGAAATATATCCCGTATTGGAATCACATAGCATTCGAATGAGTATGCCATATTTTGTTATTTTCGACGGATTATAAACTTTCGAATTTAATCGTCCACGCCACGGTATCATTCCTTCATCAATTGAGATGTTTTGGCCAAGATTAAAATTGTCTTCAAACTTTTTGGAAAAGTAATCAATTATTGGTTGCACTTTAAAAAGTCGATCGGCATTATCCGGTTTATTATTGTTGTCGGAAAAATGCAAAAATGATAATATTTGTCTAAATCTGTTACGAGACATCGTTTTCCGAAATATTGGAGTTTCTATCAATGGATTCGTTGACCAATAATCATCCATCCTTGTTTTTTTTACAATTCCCATCAGGATAGTAAGCCCAAACCATTTCTTAAGTTCGGCTGCCGTAACATCGACAAATTTGGCACTTTTTTTATTTAGTTTCCTTTTTTTGCAATTTTGATTGTGGTATTTATTCGTTTCGCTGCTAATATATTCAAATAAATCGTTCCCAATAAATAACTTTACGATATCCTCGATGCTCTGTGTATCTTCGGGAAATAGGTTTGGACCAAAAGACCCTTCAAATTCATTATTGGTCCTCGGTAAATCAAAGTCTGACCATGGTGTACTGTGATCTTCGTCTGATTCATCCGAATCAGTTGCCAATTGTACATCATCGTCCGAAAATTCTGCTTCACTTTCATTTTTTGGATATGCAATGTCTTCTTCGTAATCTGCAATGTCGCTTGGAACGTCAGACAAGTCGTCTGCGCATTCATCTTTAATAATCGTATCTTTTCTTTCGTCTGCCATGATGAAAGGGCTCAATAACTTATAGAAACAAAAGACTTGCTGATGTATGTAAGTTATTCTCACTTAAACAAAACACAAACTGAACACCATAAAATGCAAACGATGCTAAAGTGCTGGATGATATTTTGCGCGCGACACCAATGTTGTGACGCCGGCCGTTGACCGATGCTTTGCGCATGACACCATTGTGGTGTCGCCGAATGCTTTTAGTTCAATAAAAATATACAATCTAGCACTAGATAGCAGTTAAAATTAGAACTAACACTAGACCTAGAACTAGTAACTTTGAATTAATTATTTGTAATAAATTTTTATTAAAGATAATTTACTGAAAGAATGATTTGAAATCGATTTTAAATGAAATCACTTTTAATTTAGTAATTCAGTTTATTTATTTGTTGTAATTTTTATTTGTAAGTGTAAAGATTTTAATAACCATTATTGTCTAAGTTCTAAGTCAAGAAGGAGGTGCATATTAAAGGCGAATACAAAAAGAAACAAGAACAGTGTGTAGATTACAGTAAAAGGACAATAACTTTTTGTGTTATTTTTCTTGTAAATCACAATTAACACTTCTGTGATGTTTATAGATATATCTAACGTGTATAAATCTATCTTATAGTTGAGAAAGAAATCTGAATTGCCAAGATAATTAGTTGATTTGAAATATATACCTACTAGTGAATGAATAAAGGAAATGTTACAAAAAGTTTAACTCATTTGTGTACTATTAAAACCATAATGATAAATGATATACAGGATGTCCCGTTAAGCGTACGGAGCTGCTTTATCTCGACATTACCGTTGTAGAGGTTTGAGTAAAAATTCTTTATAAGCAAAGTGACCAAGAGAAATAACTGGAAATTATTTTGAAGTTCATAATTCGACCGCTAGGGGGCGTAACTGCCATTGAGAAACATAAAATTGCCGCTATCTCAGAAACTTAGACGATGAGCTATAATTTTGACAACATCATTTAATAGCTTGGATAATACCGCATCGCTTTTGTTTTGCGATATTTCTTATATCTGTCATAATAAGGAAGGGGAGGCCAATGCGTTTTCATATGTTTACATTTTAATATCTCCTGGACCATTCAACCGATTTGAATATTTTTGGTGTTGTTTGAAAGAGCATTTTATGCTCTTTTTAAAGATATTTTCAATAAGACCGTTTGCTTTAAAACAAATAAGCTAGAGGGCGTTATCTGCAGCGATTACATATTTTTGTGATTTTTGAAGAAAAGTTAAATGGAACGATACTATTTACTTCACAGACCCTTAGTCACCTTAAAATTTGCTAAATTTTAGTGAAAACCGCATCTCGATATCGCCACCCGTTCTCGAGTTATAGAAGAAAATGTTAAAAACTCGAGTGCCATCAATCGGATCCAGTTACCTCATCGAGAAAAACAAATCACATAACCATGGTAACTGTAAACATGTCATTTACTAACGCAGAAGCGTATGATAGAGCGTATGATGATTTATTTTCAATGTTTCGAATACGATGCAACTGCATGGCAAAAATGTGCAATGCAATTACGACAAAGAAAGACATTTTTCTCTAGAAGTGTTTTTAAGATTGACTTAGCGATTACGGAAAACTGGCAACGTGTAGCCCATTCAGACATCTCTATGAATTCGTAAATCACATTGGTGCGCAATGTGATCCCACATAATCTGGGAACTCCGAAAACAATTGTCCACAAGAGTTCTCAAGAGAATAATATCTCCACCACGTTGTTTTACATCAGGCCTTAACAGATACCGATTATGATAACAGACTGAACTATTACCATTGACTTTTAAATATGATTTGGGCAAATCCAAACCTTTTATCACAAATGCTATGGATGCATGAAGCATCTGTCCACAAGCTGATGTAAACTTGCATAATATGCATTCTTGGTTCGAGCAAAACCCACATTGCTTTCACCCCTTTATCTATTGGGTAGACTAAACGACCTGACTTTTCAAGAAAAACCAATAACCAGGGAAAATATGACAAAACTCTAAATACCAGTAGAAACGTGTCCAGGGCCGAGACTTAAGCTTTTAAGTTTTTTTTCGTCGAAACTAGATTAAATAAATGCATCGAGGTTTATGGAAGGCATTTCGCACATTAGTGAGCTATTTTTGCCAAAAATGTAAGTTATTCTAAGTGTTTTGGTTTATTTTGTTTTATTATCATTGTTGATGTTTTATTGATCCGTTAGCTTTTAAATACGCCTCAAAAGTAGGTAGTTTTGAAGCAGTTCTAAGCTTGGATAAAGTGTGAAGGAAGGGTCTAGATAATAAAATTTTTGTGCTCTCTTATTTGTTTCCTAAGGTAACTTGATCCGATTAAGATATACGAATTTTTAACATTTTCTTCTATAATTCGACAATGGATGGGGATATCCAGATGCGGATATCCCCATCAACGCAGATAACGCCCTCTAGCTTATTTGTTTTAAACCAAGCGGTCTTACTGAAAATATCTTTTAAAAGAGCATGTAATGCTCTTTCAAACAAGATCAAACGGTCCAGCAGATATTAAAATGTAAATATTTAAAAACGCATTGGCCTCCGCCTCCCTTATTATGACAGATATGAGAAATATCGCAAAACAAAAGCGATGCGGTATTATCCAAGCTACTAAATGATGTTGTCAAAGTTATAACTAATCGTCTAAATTTCTGAGATAGCGGGAATTTTATGTTTCTCTATGGCAGTTACGCCCCCTAGGGGTCGAATTACGAACTTCAAAATCATTTCCAGCTATTTGTCTTGCCCACTTTGCTTATAAGGATTTTTTTCCCAAACCTCTAGGCCTTACCATTGTCGAGATACAGCCGCTCCGTACGCTTAACGGGACACCTGTACAACAGATTTCTTGCAACAATGTTACAAATCTTTTATAGTAGACAGTATTTCACAACACTAAGTTCTTTGATTAGCAGAAGTGATGGCAACTATCACAGCACTATTCACAGGGATTAGTATCTTTCTTAGGTTTTGGACACTGCAGATAATAAGTTTCAACCTCAATAGGACTTTTTTCATTTAATACAACTTTATTTATTTAAGGTTTGTCATTAACAACCTCATGGTAACAATCCCAAAACGATGTATGAATTAAATCTTTTGTTGCAATTTCTTCTAGTTTTCTTCATCAAATTCATTATTAACAGAACTGTCGTTATTATCACTTTCAGTTTATGATGCAAATCTTTCCAATAAAAACCATCTTCTTGCTTTGCTTGTTAAATCTGTATCAATAAAGTTCATTTTATATCTTGGATCCAAATAAGTTGACATATCTTATCAGCTTTCTTATCAATTTCATTTTTATTATGAGGGCAATGTAGGGTATCACTTGAGAAATGCACGAGAAATTATAACCATAATGGCCTGATATCCGGTTTGTCGCAAAATCACTATCCGTTCCATCACTANTTCCCTACATTGCCAAAATTTACTTTATTTTTGTTAAAAAAAAGTATAAAAACGCGAATTACAAAAAATAGCATAAAAAACACGTTTCATAAGACTTAAAGCACTCATTCATTAAAACTTGAATACGTGTATTTCAAGCGTGTCTTAGGAAACTTGTTTTTTAATATACTATTACAGTAGACAGTATTTCATAACACTACGTTCTTTGATTAGCAAAAGTGGTGGCAACTATTACAGCACTATTCGCAGGGATTAGTCTTCTTTAGCTTCTTTAGCTTTATTAGATCTTTTTAGGTGTTCAACATTGCAGATAATAATCAAGTTCAACCTCAATAGGACTTTTTTCATTTAATACAACTTTATTTATTTAAGGTTTGTCATTAGCAACCTCATGGTAACAATCCCAAAACGATATATGAATTAAATCTTTTGTTGCAATTTCTTCATCAAATTCATTATTAACAGAACTATCGTTATTATCACTTTCAGTTTGTGATGCAAGTCTTTCCAATAAAAACCATCTTCTTGCTCCGCTTGTTAAATCTGCATCAAAAAAGTTCATTTTATATCTTGGATCCAAATAAGTTGACATATCTTATCAGTTTTCTTATCAATTTCATTTTTATTATGAGGGCAATGTAGGGTATCACTTGAGAAATGCACGAGAAATTATAACCATAATGGCCGGATATCCGGTTTGTCGCAAAATCACTATCCGTTCCATCACTAATTAGCAGACAAAAAGTGGTTTAGCTTCATTTAAAATGAATCAGAAAGGAAATTAAAAGCAGATACATTTTCATCTGTAATCCAAAAAGCAGTCATTCTTTATAATGATGGCTGCAATTATAAAAATCGCAATTCTACTTTAAACTTTGCGAAGCTAACCAAAACTATTATTGAGAGAAAGTTGAAGAAAACTATACAGATCGATTGTTCAGGTTGCTAATAAATAGCATATTTAGTCGATTTTAAAGATATCATACTTGAGAAACGGAATGATTAGTTTAGAGGGTCAATACGTAAAGTTTTGTAATCCTAACATAAGGTCTGATTTCCTTATTTTGTCATTAAGAAAGACTTTTCTTTTCTTATGCTCGTCACCTGGTACATATAACATAAGACAAAAGTACAGCAAAAATTCGTACGGAAATTAGGCTGAAAAAGGAAAACATCATAAAAATCCAATGCAATTAATGCAAAAAAAACAACAAAATAAAATAAAATATGCTATCAGCAAGCCCTCCAAGTCATCGAAATTATATTTGAGGTATTCATTCATGTCATATAAACTTTTAAATCCAAGGTACAGCCTTATTTTAATAGTTCAGTTTAGTAATAATTTACACCATCTCGAACTTTCACAATACATGTATTGTCACTTTACTATATGGGGTTGGATTATTTTTAATAGACATTCTAGAATATATACACGGAACAGTCAGAATAATTTAGTTCTGCAGTATTGGGCAAAGCGCAAACTAGTCATGACTCTCAAGCATCTCCTTTGCATTCGAAAAGCTTGGCCAACGTGAGCAGAATAGACGTAATAATAAGTGATAATCAAAGTGTCAAATGGTATTATAGTATATTTATCAGATTTTTAATTGCAAAAATACACTTATTTAACTTCTTGGCCAAGCTCAGCACACAGCACAAGACCTAGCATGTTAGCTTGGAATCAAGTATCACTACCAGATATTTAACCGGCTGAGTGAGGAAGTAAACGTCAATGACTTAGTTTTGGACGCAAGATTATTAGATTGAAACCAAGACAGAAGTCTTTGGGTACTGCTAGACACAGCTTGATCAAGAGTATTGAAATTAGGGCGGGTATTTAGAGTTGCTGCATCATCCGCATAAAGTACAACCTCTGAGCTATGTGGCAGGCATTAATAAACATCAAAAACAGCAACGGACCTAGTACAGATTCTTGTGGGACTCTGTATTTAACAGTAATTTTATCAAAAGTCTGGTAGTGTTAAAAGAAACATACTAAGTTCACTAAAATGGTGAGCTTTTAACTTTAGCAACAATAACTCGTGGTCAACGCAGTCGAAAGCCTTGATCAGATCAAAGAGAGTTGTTTGAACTGTTTGGAACCACAGATCTCTCGAACCAAAACAAGCCTATTGTATGTTGTATTATATTGTAGCACCTCGGCCGGAAGCAGCCCCGGCTTTATCAACTGAAGTTATAGAGTTTTTAACTAATTAAGCAGAGGTCAATAATTAAGATTACCTATATCAATTCGAAACTAGTCCTTGTATTATGGCACCTCCACGCTAAATTAACCAACATTTTCTATTGTTAGCCAACGTTTAATTAAATAAATCATTGCTAAACAATCTGTTATATATTTACTACGTAAATTTCCTCGTTTCTGAAACACAAGAAACAATAAGAATAATATTAATAATAATAAATTCAACCTACATTTTAAGATGTTTTAAAAAAAGATTTATTTTTCAAAGTTAAAACTGAAACTTTCAAAAACACTTCACTTTAATTTATTAAAATACGTTAGATTAAGTGGTCAAATACAACAAATTAATATAAAGTACCAAAAGTGAATTTTTTCAAATCTGACATTGACAGATAAAAAAACAAAATTAAAATGTCTCAATATCATTAGGACTAATAATGATCAAAAATCCATTTATTAAATTATTTTAATTTCAAATTATTTATTATTTTTACTTATATATACTCTAATAAAGTTTAAAAAAATTAAAGATTAAAAAGAAATTGATTAAAATGAAAGTTTAAACAAATTTTCATTAAAGATTGATGATGTTGCTACAATTTAGAACATTCAAAATCACTTTTAATTTTTGTTATTAATTCGTACTATCCGACTAATTCTATAATTTATAATTCAAATAAACCGCATTTATCAATAATTTAAGTTAATTTCTTTTAATCAGTAGCAAACTGATTTGGCGGTTTTTTCATCACGTGACCAACCGACGTAACGAACATAACCTCAAAATTTTTTAAAATCCTGTAAACAGACGTTGAGTTTGTTGTAGTTCTACATTAAAAATGTATATCAAAATACGTAAATTGGGCGAGAAAAGTGACGAGATACCTCTCCTGGTATCAAGAAAAATGTTAATCGTAGAAATCCGGAAGAAAATCCAAGAAAAATTAGATATTGAACCGGAAAGACAAAAATTATACTACGGTGGCAAAGAACTATCTGATTGTTACACTCTTCTCGATTATAAAATTAATCTAAACGATGTAATACAACTTTTCGTGAAAACATTACCGACAGAAGAAAAGATAATTGAAGAGGAGCAGAAAAAAGAAGAAATCGTAGAAACGGTTACAGAAGAAATCGATACGGAAAGTGAATTTTACCAAATTGGTGATTATGTGGACATGAAGGATGCGGATGGGGCTTGGTTTGAAGCAAAAATCGCGAGAATCACTAAAAGAAAAGAAATAGATAAAGAAGAACTTATTTTTCACGTGGTGCGTCGATCAGATGTCGAACGAGGTCACATTCAAGTTACATTCAACGACATCCGCCCACAATCGTATTTTGAAATAAAACGAGACGAATTAAAACCAAACCACACCGTTTTAGTTAACTACAACGTTGATGAACCAAAAAAATTAGGATTTTGGTACGATTTTTGTGTTGATAGTGTAAAACGGAACGGTTTAAAAGGTTCCCTTCTATTTAACGATGATGAAAACCGCCTTGAAATTGAGTTTAAACCCACCCAACCGGTTTATCGAATCGAAGCTTTAAACGAAAATATTAACCGTGATGAAAACTTTTTTGATAAATTATCTTTACGTAAAATCCCATACATTTGTTCAAAATGCAAAGATGATCCAAAGAAGAAATGTAATGATTGTGGTTGTAAAATTTGTTTTGGAAAACGAGATTGGGATAAAATTTTATTGTGTGACGAGTGCAATTATGGGTATCATATTTATTGTTTGGATCCACCATTGGAAAAAGTACCGGATGAAAATGATTGGTTTTGTCCTAATTGTAAAATTGATGAAAACGAAATTGTTATGGCTGGAGGGAAATTAAAGGCGACGAAAAAGAAAAGTGCTTCTAATCAAAATTCGTCAACCAAAAGGGATTGGGGGAAAGGAATGGCGTGTGTTGGTCGTACGAAAATATGCACAATTGTTCCTGTGAATCATTTAGGTTTGTAATTAATAATAATAATATGTATTGATACAAAATTGCCACACTGGCAATTTGTACAAGTCCACAAAAGAAAGATATACAGGTACTTGCCAAAATAACACAAGTTTATTAGATAATTATAATTAGAATCCATTTTACCAGTTGTTTAATTTGTGAAAAGGTAATTAAATTTAATTTTCTCAGTATTGTACTTTTGAAACTGGTTTTTATTAATTAAGTCTTACTAGTTTTGGCCCATGGCCATCCTCAGAGACTCTACAATAAGATTAACAATCCTTCAATTTAACTAATCAATAAAAAAGTCTTGAAATTTAATATCAAAGTCAAATTTAAATTTATAGAACACAATAAAAAGAATATAAAAAATATAATGAGTAATTGAGTGTCCCTCAGAAGTGGCTCACCCCCACGTCTGTGAAGTTAGCACCTCATTTTCTTAAAACTTCAAATTTCTCTTGAGTTCCCATTGCACCCCATTGAGTTCTATAGTTCTCTACCATTTTTATTAAAAGTTCCGCAAAAATAGGCAAAAACATCGATATCGACTTTTTGGGGTGCTAAGTTCACAAAATGAGATCACAAAATTTGCAATAACTATTAAACGAATGCACGTATCTAAAAACTTTATTAAATATCTTTTATTTAATAAAGTATCTTTTAAACTCTCTAAATATCTTTTAGAACTCGTGAGGTGCTATTCAGAACTTCCGGAACTTTTCAAAATTTTCACCCCTCCGGGACATTTACGAAATCTCAATGTGAACACTTCAAATCGCGCACAGTTTCTTAAATATTAGTTTTACGGCTTCGGGCCTTAATCATTTTCGTTAGAACTCGTGAGGTGCTACCCAGAACTCCTATTTCTTAAATTT